CCCTGAGGAACAAGGAGGTGAAGAGAGCGCTGTGGAAGCTGAAAGAGTCTCACATTCTCAGAGAGAATAAATATTGGGAGGATATTTTCATTTTTATTTCGAAATTCATAGTAAAATGTAAATAGCAACATGAAATTAACTACATGTACATTTTTCAGTGTTGGACATTATTCAAAACCATCTACTCAGTAATATATCTTCTACATATTTTCTAAGGGGTTGTTGAAGTCACCATTAGATTTTTTATGATAAATATGCTTGCATTCTAACCTATAGAGTTATTATTAATAATATTGTCTAATTGATCTCAGATACAGAGAATTTATATATCTAAGTTAATGATATGCTTCCTTTTATTTATTGTGTGCATAAACTTGGGACTTTACCAGTATGGGGTTATATCATAGATCATTTATTTGTGACTGTGCCTAAGCAAATGCCTTTTAAAAAAATGACATGGTAGATGTAGCCCAAACGTTAAAAATTACATTAAAGTTTAAAAATCAAAATATTAAAGTACACGTGAGGACAACATATATCTGCCATCTACAAAATGCCCATATCAATTACAATGATACATACTGGTTAACTGTGCAAAACGAAATCAGAAAATAGCTAGAATGTCTATATTAATAAAAAAAGTTGACATGAGGACCAAGAAAATTAGCACACTGAAAAGGACATTAAGTAATATTAATCAAGAAAACATTGCGGGTCTAAAGCAACCAAAAACAGTGATTCAAAATACATAAAGTTAAAACTGCTAAAATTGAAATTGAAAGTATTCATCACTCAATTCATTTATGAGTAAAGCAAGTAGGCAAAAATATTTTAAAAAATTATGAATCAACTTGAACTAATTACTATTTATGCAACTCTCTGTCCATCATTAACATAATACACATTTCTTGCAAGTACCCATGGATCATTCATCAAGATAGCCTACACTCTGGGCAGGAAAAAAAAAAAATTCACCTGAGAGATCAGCAGATGGTGAAATGGTTGTTGCTAGACTCCCACATAGTCAACCAAGGTTTGAGTCCTGGACCCAGTGGCTTAAAACTCACATCAGGCACATGTTTGTACATGCCCAAATCCTGAGAGGAGAATGGAGGAGAAGGGATTGCTGACAGGGCCATGCAGGCAACACAAGCTGGTAAGGATGCTGCCTCCCATTCTAAGGCAGGGCCTGGACTGGGAAGAAACTGAGGCAGGGCCCAGTTTACGAGCCCTCCCTTGTGTCCTTGTACTGGCCGATATTCAATTTCTCTGCCGTTGAGTTTTACTGTTATTACGGTGCCCTGTAAGTGTAAAACGTCACCCCCAACCAGTGCAATAAAGCCAACTAGTGATCTTGTA